CCAGATAGTCAAGGAGACTAGGCACTTGGAGTGAGGAAAGGAAGCAGTCAGGGCAAGACTGGCTTGGAGCACTGGGAGTGCAGAAAGGAAAGCAGTCAGGGCAAGACTGGCTTGGAGCACTGGGAGTGCAGAAAGGAAAGCAGTCAGGGCAAGGCTGGCTTGGAGCACTGGGAGTGCAGAAAGCAAAGCAGTCAGGGCAAGGCTGGCTTGGAGCACTGGGAGTGCAGGAAAGGAGCGCAACAGGCTAACCTGCAGAGTGTTGCTAACTAATAAGGTTGGTGCCATTGTTTTGTTTAGTTTAACCCTGAGAGATAGGGAACCTAACGTCAGTTAGTGCTCAGACGAGCTAGGTTTTTGTTTATAGGGTTTTCTGTTACATTTGTTTTCATTTACTGATGTATCCTGTGTGAACTTACAAATAAAGTGCCTGGAGTATTTGCAATTACAAGGACTGTGCATGTTTTTGCCCTAGAGGACCGTGCTACCTGCTGACAAGGATCGCAATATATATATATATATATATATATATATATATATATATATATATATATATATATATATATATATATATATATATATATATATATATATATATATAAAACAAGAGGGGTGTATTATATATATATATATATATATATATAAATATGTATAATATAAAATAAATATGTAAATACGTAAAAAAATAATTAAAAAAATAATTAAAAAAAAAAATATATATATATATATATATATATATATATATGTGTGTGTGTGTTATTTTGTAAAGAGCAGCCTTCTTCCCATATGTTTTTGCTGTTGATCCAAACCAAGGCAAAAAACCTAGTCTGTACCAATTCCAATTTTGCAACAAACTAGGAAAAAATTCCTTCTTGACCTCAAAATAATAGTCAGATGTCTCCTTGGATCAAGCAGCTATTTCCCCACTAATTAGAAATTATATCCCTGTATGTTGTGATGTTTAAATTTCGGTTTAAACATCTGTATGGACTCTGATAAAACCACCTCTTCAGGCAGAGAATTCCATATACTTATTACTCTTACTGTAAAAAAACAACCTTTTCTTTGCCTTAGATGAAATCTCCTTTCTTCCAGTCTAAATGTGTGACCTTGTGTCCTATGTATAGCCTTTTTATGAATAGATTTCCAGATAATGGTTTGTACTGGCCCCAAATATATTTGTATAATGTTATCATATCCCCTCTGAGGCGCCGTTTTTCCAAACTAAAGAGATTTACATTTTTTTAACCTTTCTTCGTAAATAAAATGCTCCATTCCTTTTATCAATTTTGTAGCTCTTCTCTGCATTGTTTCTAGTGCCATAATATACTTCTTTAGAACAGGTGCCCACAATTGCACAGCATATTCAAGGTGTGGTCTTACCAGCGAATTATAAAGAGGCAAAATTATATTTTTATCCCGAGAATGCATGCCCCTATTTATACATGACAAAACCTTACTGGCCTTAGCAACTGCAGATTGACATTGCATATTGCTGCCTAATTTGTTGTCTATAACAGTTCCCAAATACTTCTCGTGTGTGGTTATCCCTAATTCATTACCATTTAGGGTGTAAGTTGCTTGTGCATTCTTGACCGTGAAGTGCATAACTTTGCATTTCTCTACGTTAAATTCAATCTGCCATTTTAGTGCCCAATCCCCCAATCTGTCAAAATCCATCTGCAGCAAAGCAATATCGTGCTCACATTTTATTACTTTACAAAGTTTTGTGTCATCTGCAAACACCGAAACACAGCTTTCAATGCCCATTTCAAGATCATTAATAAATATGTTAAAAAGAAGCTATCGAAATACCTGACACCCTACAACAACTCACACTGGGAAGGCAAGGGCCGGGTCCCACAGATTCCAACAAGCCGATGACAACTACAGCCTGGAACCCCGCCACTGCGCAACCCTTTATACCAGCAACCCAACGAGGAGAAACAGCATCTGCCTCGGTGCCATGAACTCCCTGACACCACCAATGCCTGAAACCTTAGACTCAGGTTCTAACCACAAGCCTTTATAAGTAACGTTCCATGTTTATGTTTTATGTTTTTGTCTTAAAGCTGGTTGCCAACGACCTTTGGCATATTTATATGTCCTCTCGAAAGCTGTATGTATACACTGCAGTACTACTACCCGTTCTCTCACTTCACTCCCCCTTTCTACTTCATGAAAAACATCCGATATTACAGACCTAAATGTCAATGAAAGGGGACACTGGTCTCTCGAATCCACTCCTAGTTTAATAGCCCTAGTTCAACCTAACAACCAAGAGGCAATAATCATCCTAACGTTATAACGTATAACATATAAAAAGTGCTGTGTTATTAAAGCCAACAACTGTATACCTATGCCTGAAAGAAAATACTTGCAACAGCTGTTGTGGCTAGGCAAGAATGTTTGTACCAACAATGCACAAATAAAAATAAAGAATTTAAAAAAAAGAAGCGGTCCCAAAACAGAACCCTGAGGGACACCACTTACCACTTTTGTCCAGCCTGAAAATTTACCATTAATGACAACTCGTCAATGTTCTACCCAAGAACAAGAATAATCATCTAGACCAATTTCATTTAGTTTGAAG